TCTGCGATTGCAATTCTGCGATTGTGCGATTCTGCTCCTAATTTTTGCAATTGTGATTCTTGCACGATTCTTCATCTCTGTTTTTCTCTTCAATGGCGGCTCGTGCTCCTGTAACTCTTGCGAATTTGCAAGATGTCACACACGATTATTACATTCACCCGAATGAAAATCCGTCTCTAGTTTTGGTGTCTCCAATTCTTGAAGGACACAATTACCATGCTTGGGCGAGAGCAATGGAAATGTCTCTGCAAATGAAGAACAAATTTGGGTTTGCAGATGGTTCTATCCCTCGTCCTACTGATACAGATCCGATTCTTCCAGCGTGGAAGCGATGCAACAATTTGGTGCTTTCTTGGATTAATCATTCCGTGTCTCAGGAGATTGCAACAAGCATCATATGGATTGATAAAGCTTTTGGTGCTTGGCAGGACTTGAAGAACCGTTTCTCTCAAGGCGACTCAGTAAGAATCTCTCAAATCCATTCTGACTTGTATACTTTACAGCAATCTGATCTTACAGTTACTGCCTACTATACAAAGTTAAAAATTATGTGGGATGAGTTATGCAATTATCGCCCAATTCCCTTGTGTTCAACACCGAACTCTTGTTGCTGTAATTCTGTGAAGAAACTGCAAGAGTATAGGGACAATGATTGTGTTCTTTGTTTTCTGCGTGGATTGAATGATAACTATGCTGCTGTGAGGTCTCAGATTCTTATGATGGAGCCTTTACCAAATTTATCCAAGATTTTTTCAATGATAATTCAGCATGAGCGACAATTGTTAATTGGTATACTTGCTGAGCCCTCAGCTTTAGCAGTGCAAGCTTCACCATCTAATGGTTCTACAAGTTCCAATGGTTCTGGATATGGCAGGGGAAAGCCATTTTATTCTAAGGGTCAAGGTAAGTCTTCTGGCCAGAGACATTGTACACACTGTGGGAGGAATAATCATACTGTGGATACTTGCTTCATGAAGCATGGTTATCCTCCTGGTTTTCCCAATGGGTATAAGCCTAAGAAAGTCAATCATGTATCTTCTGGGGGTGGTTCTGATGACCAATCTGAGCAGGGTCTTTCCTCTTCATCTATGGAGTTTACAAGGGAGCAATTTCAGAGTCTTCTGGCTCTTCTACCTCAGCATACACCTACTGCTACTCCTCATGCTTCCAATCTTGTGAGCAATCATCAGATTCAAGCATCTGAATTAGGTAAATATGTTTGCAATCTGCTGAACAGCCCTCTTGCTCCCACAAGGGCCTTAGGTAACTTGTTTGTAAGGTGGATCGTGGATTGTGGTGCAACTGATCACTTTGCTAGCTCTCTTCATTTGTTCTCTTCTTATAGAGCTATACCTCCAGTATTTGTTAATTTACCAAATGGCCAACATGCTTATGCTCGTCATATAGGAACTATATACTTGACACCTACTTTGACATTGTATAATGTGTTATATGTTCCTGAGTTTTCAGTAAACTTAGTGTCTATTGATAAACTTACCAAGCAACTTCAATGTAATGTGCTCTTCACTCACTCTGCTTGTTATATTCAGGACACAATCACATTGAAGATGATTGGGAAAGCTGAGAATCGCAAGGGACTTTATATCATGGATTTACCACCTCTTCATACTGTTAAGCCTTTGTCTACTTTTCATTCTGTGAATAATGTTGTTTCTGCACCAGTTAGTATGCCTAATATTTGGCATTATAGATTTGGCCATCCCTCTCTCTCTTGTTATCACATTTTACATTCCATGTATCCTGCTGTACCTTCCACTGTTAATAAACACTGTGAGACTTGTCATTTTGCAAAACAAAAGAAATTTCCTTTTACATTGAGTACTACACTTTCAGAAAATGTGTTTGATCTATTGCATGTGGATATATGGGGACCATATAGTGTTCCATCTATTACTGGTGCAAGGTTTTTCTTAACTATTGTTGATGATAAATCCCGTTATACTTGGGTAAAATTTCTTGATACAAAAGCTGCAGCTCGTCCTTCTTTAAAGAGTTTTATTATTTTTGTGAAAAATCAATTTCAGAAATCTGTGAAAATTGTTAGAAGTGATAATGGTGTTGAATTTTCAATGAGTGATTTCTACAATTTGCATGGGATACAACATCAATTGACTTGTGTGGAAACCCCACAGCAAAATGGGATTGTGGAACGCAAACACCAACACATATTAAATGTGTCTCGTGCTTTGCTTTTCCAATCCAATTTATCTCTTGAGTTTTGGTCATATGCTGTAAGTCATGCAGTGTATATCATTAATGTTCTACCAACAAAAGTTTTGCAAAATGCTTCACCATATCAAATTCTTTTTAACACCAAACCTGATATCTCTTCCTTAAGAGTTTTTGGCTCTCTTTGTTATGCCACTACTTTACTTGCTCATAGAACTAAGTTTAAACCTAGAGCAAGAAAATGCATCTTACTTGGTTTGAAAGAAGGAGTTAAAGGTTTTTTACTCATGGATTTGGGAACAAGACAGGTTTTTTTGTCAAGGCATGTTATTTTTTATGAGAATATGTTTCCTTTTCAGCATCTTGACAAGGATCATAATGTGACTTCCCTAAATTCTTTGGTTTTACCTACCAGCCCTTATTCTCCTTCTTTATCTGATGAACAATTACCACACCCTGAACCTGCTCTACCTCCACAACCTGTTCTCAGATCTTCTTCTAGACCTAAAACCAAACCTGCTTACTTACAAGATTATCATTGTAATCTTGCTTTGGTTCCTTCTCAGAATTCTCAGGTTTCTCAATCTCCCAATGTGTTGTATCCACTAACAAACTTTGTGTCTTATGATCACTTGTCTTCATCACATAGGGCATATACATTGTCAATCTCTCAGGTTGTTGAGCCAAGGAGTTATTCTCAGGCAGTTAAGTCAGAGGAATGGAGACAAGCTATGAATTTGGAGATCCAAGCTCTTGAGACTACTAAGACCTGGATCCTTACTGATTTACCTCCAGGGAAGAAACCCATAGGTTGCAAATGGGTGTTTAAAATCAAAAGGTTTGCTGATGGCACCATAGAAAGATATAAGGCTCGTTTGGTGGCTAAAGGTTACACACAAGAGCATGGCTTGGATTACTTTGAGACTTTCTCTCCTGTTGTGAAGATGACCACAGTCAGATTAGTTTTGGCAATGGCTACTGTACATAACTGGTACCTTCATTAACTCGATGTAAACAATGCCTTTTTGCATGGGAATCTAGAAGAGGAAGTGTATATGTCATTACCTCAGGGTTATCAGGCTGCACAACCTACACAGGTTTGCAAGTTACTAAAAAGTCTATATGGACTTAAGCAAGCTAGCAGGCAATGGAATGCTATGCTTACTTCTTCCTTAGTTGCTCTTGGTTATGTGCAATCTAGGTCCGATTACTCTCTGTTTGTCAAGAAAACTTCTATTCATATTACCGTTTTATTGGTTTATGTTGATGATATCGTTCTAGCTGCCTCTGACCTGACAGAAATTGTTCATGTCAAGGCTCAATTGGATGCTCAGTTCAAGATCAAAGATCTAGGCAATCTGAAATTCTTTCTTGGGTTAGAAGTGGCTAGATCTCATACAGGTTTGGTCTTGTCACAGAGAAATTATGCTCTTGAATTACTTGATGATTCAGGCTTGCTTGCCTGCCATCCAGTTACAACACCAATGAATCCTAGCATTAAGCTCCAAGCCGTCACAGATCACCCCTATGAGGATGTTAAATCTTATAGGAGATTGATAGGAAGATTGATTTATCTCACTAATACTAGGCCTGACATCTGTTATGCAGTGAACATTTTGAGTCAATATTTGTCTAAGCCTATGCTTGAGCATCATACAGCTGCACTAAGGGTTCTCAAGTACATCAAAGGAGCTCCAAGTCAGGGACTGTTCTTCTCAGCTCAGAAGAACACTACTTTGAGTGCTTTTAGTGATTCTGATTGGGCTTCATGCCCTGATACAAGAAGGTCTGTCACAGGTTTCAATGTGTTTTATGGCTCTTCTTTGATCAGTTGGAAATCCAAGAAGCAGTCTACTATATCCAGATCTTCCTCAGAGGCTGAATACAGGGCTTTAGCTACAACCACATGTGAGGTTCAGTGGATTTTGTATCTCCTTCAAGATCTTCAACAGCCAGCTCTGCAGCCAGTTATTATCTATTGTGATAGCTTGTCTGCTATACATATAGCATAGAATCCTACTTTTCACGAGCGCACTAAGCACATAGAGATTGATTGCCATCTCGTTCGTGATAAAGTTGCTTTAGGAGTCATCAATTGCTGCCTGTTCCAACTACTGCACAACTTGCTGACATCTACACAAAACCTCTACACCCTCAACTGTTTCAACATTTGGTGTCCAAGCTTAGCCTCAAAAATCTTTGTGTCGCAGCTTGGGGGGGGGGGGGGTAATAGAGATTGATTATTCATGTATTATTTATTGTATACTTGCAGTCAGCAAGGTTGTTAGAGTTAGTTTAGTCTCTAACTGAATTAGTTAGATTAGTTGAAGTTTGTTTTCTGATTAGTGCTTGTATAAATAATTCTAACACATGAATGGAAAGTAAGATGGATTTCATTCTATTTCATCTGTTAACAGTCCTGGGTTAACTTCTCCGCATTCTACGGGTAGTGGATGAGTTTTCCCATTACGAAGGGCAAAGCGGTTCCGCAAGTCACGTGAGGTGTGCGGGTTCGATTGGTGACGTGTCTTCGGATGTGAAACACGTGGAGAACGTGTTCTCCATTGGCCCCAACGGATTGAGCCAACACTTTAGGCCATCCTCGACGTAGAACTTGATTGACTGTGTTCGAAGATGGATCAACCACAGACTCAGTCCAGAACAACAATATTTCATATAACATCAAGTATTGATTAATCAATGTACTTTATCCCACTTAATAGGAAAAAAAACATGACTTTGTTGAAATAAATAATAAAGTAAATAACAAGAGGACCCTATAATTTTTTCTTATTCAATGGAATTCTCAATCATAATTGATAATTAGAAATATACCCGAACCTATACACATAATTGTTTGGGACATGGTAGGCACGAATACCATATTTATGTGCAATCTTTATAAGGATAGAAGTAAGGTTCTGTGGTTTAGAGAACATGACCATGTGATCAGAATCATTAATCACTTTCACCTCAGCAAAAGGACCACTTCTCTCAATTATCCACTTTTGAAAATCCTCTGTTATCAAATTATCACTTTTACTTATGACAAAAATTTTAGGTACCCTTCCATTTCTATCATTGGTAACTGCTGTTTCCTTCTTCAATAATTCAACATCATTATAAAGTGGATCAGGTCTCACCAGGGACAATGCAAGGGTCAAGTCCTACACATTTTAGAATGCAAAATTACTTTATATTAATAACATTTAAAATCTAAATAATCTAAAATTCAACTGAAAATGTTTATATATACCTCAGGTGGTGATAATTGATACAGACTGGATGCCAGGTATTTCGGTCCAAGCAATCTAGCAGTTGCGGGTTTGTTGGGTCCATCAAAAAAGAAAAACTTTGAGTCCATTAAATTAGTGATCCTTCTAGCTTCCTGCAATATATAACTAACTTGATATAGTTTTGAGGGGGGAAAATAAATTGTGAGTTTTGTAGAGTACCTCTTGTTGAATAGTAGGGTATGTGAGATTTTGACTAAGCACATAAGCAGTAACAAAAACTGCAACTGAAATTTTGTCTGGAAATTTTTCCATAGCTACAGATGTAGACACTCCACCAATACTATGACCTACTAGAATCACCTTCTCATTTGGAGGAAGAGATTCCATAAATGTCATCAAAGGTTCATAATACTGTGAAATTTGACGAATCTCTTGAACCTGTATTGGATTGATACCAGAAGCAGCCAATTCAACAGTTGTAACATTATGACCAGCTGATTTAAGCATAGTTGCAACCTTATACCAACACCATGCACCATGGTATGCTCCATGAACAAGAACGAAATGCTCACAACTAACACAAATTAAAGGAGAGAGAGTTAACAAGAAAAGAATCTGAATGAAGTGCATCTCTCTTTTCATAATCTTGTTACTTTTGGCCTTTTAAATAGTTCTCTATAGATAGTGACTCAGAAAAACACTTTACTTAATGATGTAATTAATCTTATTAATTTTTTTTTTACAATTTCTTCATTTTATATCATTATCACCCTCAACTCATAGTTTCTTTAAAACCAAAAAAACAAGATAACGTTTTAATGGACGCGACCAAGATAACGTTTTAATGGTCGCGGTCGCGTTAGGGTCATTTAAAACGTAAAAATAGTGAATAACGATATTAATATCAGTATTATACCGTTTTGTTGCGAACGTTTTCAGAGTCCATCCTTGAATAACTTGTCAACACTTCTCAAATCTGATAGAGACAAAGACCCACCTTCGTGTGAACTTTATTTGTGTCCATACATTCCTAGTGCAACATTTTCTTATCCCCCTCACATGAACTTTTCAATATGTAGACTTTTCTCGTAAAATAGTTATGATATTCATTATTTATAAAGACAGGTCTTATGATAATTTTCTTCTTTATTTATGGTTCTCCTCTAATCTTAGCCAACTATATATTAATTGAAAAAGTTCAATCATATCAAATATTTAATAAGTAAGGATAAAAAGAAAAGCCAATTAAAACATTAGTATGCTTAAAACCTCCAATGGCTATGTCGAAGGCGTTCCATAAGTGAAAGAGGAAGTAGAAGACATTTTGAAAGTTTTTTCAAAGAAGACAATGCAAACAGACCTATTTTAGACGGTTTGGTGTTCGATGTTTTATCTGATATGGACAGAAACATGTTAGAAGAGTCGTTCTCCGAAGAGGATATCAAAGAAGTTGTTTGGTGTTGCAACGATAGTAAAATCCTAGGGCCGAACGACTTTAGTTTTGAGTTTCTTAAAAAAGGCTGGGAAGTGGTCAAGGAGGATGTTATCAAGTGTGTTTGTGATTTTCACGCTAAGGCTAGACTCACAAAAAACGTGCGTTGCATCCTTCATTGTTCTTATTTCAAAAATTCAAAGCCCTCAAGCTCTATCCAACTTTAGACCGATTTGCTTGGTGGGATGCATTTAAGATCTTTTCCAAACTCTTAGCTCTAAGATTGAGGAAAGAAGATCTTTTCCAAACTCTTAGCTCTAAGATTGAGGAAAGTTGCTGTCAGTTTGGTTTCCAAAAACCAAACCTAGCAGGAAGAAACATTTTGGATGAGGTTTTAGCGTGAGTGAAGTTATGAATATTGCTAAGAGAGAAAAAAAAAGTTGCCTAGTGGGGAAGTACTACGCTAAAAAAGACTAACGAAAGCGTTTTTTTTTGCCTTTAAAAGCGCTTAAAAGCGCTTTCTATGGTGGTGCTGCTATAGGTTTTAGCAGCGCTTTTTGTTTAATGAAAAGCGCTCTCTTAAGTAGGCTTTTGGCAGCGCTTTTTTATGAAGAAGCGCTTTCATAGGTCTACCTAAGGCAGCGCTTTTTTCTGGAAAAGCGCTCTCATAAGTTTTCTTTTAGTAGCGCTTTTTTTCTGGAAAAGCGCTGTTTTAGGTAGGTTTTTAGCAATGCTTTTTTCTGGAAAAGCGCTTTCATAGGTGGTCTTTTAGCAGCGCTTTTGCCTGGAAAAGCGCTGTCATATATTTACCTTAGACAGCGCTTTTTGTGAAAAAGCGTTTTCATAGGTTACCTAAGGCAGCGTTTTTCTTGAAAAAGCGCTTTCATATGGTGTTTTTTTAGAGGTATAATTTATATAATTCATATACCTGCATTGTTTGCAGCATATTATTTATATAAACCAGTTGCCATAACCTGTAATTCATAAACCGCGGTAATGCATTGTATACCATTGTAATCCAAAATATATATACACCATTTTTGTACCTCAAAATATATAAAAACCATTGTTATCAGCATTATAACTCAAAATCAGTCTTACAAAATCAACCCTAACAACAACTAAAGTTTATATGATTATCTACTCAATAAAATATTGACACAATTCCTCTTTGATTTCTTCCAACTGAAGTTTCGTGTAATATGCACATTTGTATTCATCGAAGTACTACATGACAAAACATAATATGCATGATTTAGTTAAAAGTAAAAAATTATATGAAATATCCGAGAAATAATAAAATAAATCCATACCGTGAATGGAATCTCTATTTGATTCAGTTGAAGGATTTCTTTGATAAACCGCATAACGAAGTATCTGCAATCTATATCGTTTTGCTGTTGAGGACACTACATAGAAAAACAAATAAGAATATATAGTTGTATTGTTTTATCAAATAGCATAAATATTATAAGAAAAATAGTGGAAATTAATATACCTGCACTTTGATCCAATTAATGTTGTTTGATTTAGACCGTCGTACCCGAGCTTCTCTTTGACACCGGAATACTTGTATCGCTCTAACAAAATAAAAATATATATTTAGAACAATGTCACAGAAATAATTAAATATATAAATACACACAAATATTTAGAATAATCTCACTTACGTATCAATCATTAACTTCATATTCGGATAATTTGTCCAATCACCGTCAACCGAATTCAGATAATAGACCACTTCTTTTATAGGATCGATAGCAACCAACAACCAGTGACGTCTATAAATTAAAACAACAGTTTAGAAGAAAATTTTCTACGCAAAAATTACAAATATTAAAATGAACTTAGAATGAAAATCTAACCCTGTAGGAATAGTATTATACGTCCAAAGATATAAGCTTTCTGTACTGCCAGTTGCCATGAATCTTTCGACTAAGTGCTCTCTTACTGAATTCGGTTCCCTACCAATTGTCGCTCCGCTGATACGGGAGGAAGACACGAAATGAAATCTGTTTGACAATTGATTCCCGCGCATCAATTTGTCATATAACAACCTTAAATAAAAACATAATTAATATTAGACTATATTCATTGAAATGTTTTAAAAAAATTCCAGCTAATTACATAATATAAAGATGGGGTTACCGGATGTATGCATGCATAATACTGACGCCTAATTCTTTATAACGGAAAATCTCTTCCACGTCCTCATGTCCAATTATTTCGGTGCAAGGAAAACCAAAGATACCTTGATCCATATCCATTTGACGAATACCACCATCCATCAAATTTGTTGTTCCCACTATTGTTTCAAGACACTGCCGGTATCGAGGGAAAAATCTAGTAGGAACCCTTTTCTTGGGTGGTACGCCAACGATTTTTTGGCTCACTTGTTGTGACCCTTGAAAAGGTACCTAAAAATCATATAGACTCAGTTAAATTATAAAATTATGCAGTTTTTTATTCGGATCATATAATTAACACTTTAAACGTACCTCTTTTTGTGATACATCAGACTCGTCGTACCGCAAAATCCCTTTACCCTTAGATGCGGGTTTTGTAGGAGTCTATAATTATCGTGGAAATAACTGAGGTCAGAACTGAGAGTTGAAGACTTAAAGATTCAAAATGGTTTTCAACATACCTGATCATCTATGAAAATGAGGTCTGATGGCCATGCAACAAAAGATCCTATTGCATCTCGCAACAATGTGGTCTCAACAACAATGTCAGGTACCGGTAGCAACACATCCATATCTAAAGCAATATCAACCGATACTTTCATGTGTCCATCCGGAAGCGGTCTATGGTGAAGTAAATCTCCCAAAGTGTTATGGACTTTTCCCTTGCCAACTAGTCGATAAGTCGGCGACGATAGGTATAGTTGGCAAGATGAAATGCCCTAAACCAATAATAACCGTTAGAAGTGACTAAAAATATTCTATAATAATAACGGATATATATTGAAAATTACCTCGGGAAATTTATGCTGACAGTTGATACTAGCTTTGTCACTAGTTTCTTTCAACTATGAACTGCTCTTTTCCACCATATATCTCTCTTTATCCTTCTGCAATTCACAGACTTGAGCTTGTAAATCCTGCAATGTTTACATCACTTCTGCATTTCTAGGATTTCTTCTCCTTGGATGCTTATACAAAGAGGTTGGAGTCACACCATGACCTTTACCCCTCACCCGACCCGGATACTCAGCAATATTTAGTGCTCGACTAAGTACGCTCCTGGTATCCTGATCCTCACCTGGGGATACCGATTGCGACAAGGTCTCCTGTAATTCATTTACATATCGAAAATTATTAGTGGAGATAAAAAATTATTTAAATATTAATAAACATTTGATTTAATTAAAGGCACAATCTTATACTTACACATTCATCATACACATGTTGAAGATCGGGATTAACAACTTGATCCTTGCCCACACGAGCTTCCTTCCACAACAAATGTGCTGGTAGTGATGTTGCGTCACTTTTCGTCTCTTCTAACTACGCATTGACACAAGTCATAAGATCATCAATTATAACACATTGAGAGAATTAATAAGATCGTAGAGTTTATATTTACTTACAATTTTTTCCTCTAAGCGAGCATATCCCAAACACCCTTTTTTGTATGGATATGCGGGTTTTGACGCTCTCTCGCGATTGATGGCACTCACTTTCTTGAAATTCTCGTCTCTTCTTTGGCCTACAAAACCAACCCATTCTTTAGGTGTAATGAAGTTCTCATATTTCTTTGGACGTTCCGGATCCTCTTCAAGAAAATTTCCTTCATCATCTTTAAGATACTTGTTTGTTAAAAATGTTCTCCACCCTATGTGCCTTTTTCCAGCCAAACCCATTATATACTTTTTACGGGTATCTTCAATGTTAAAAGACCTCTACAAAAAAACATACGCATAAAGTGTGTTATTAAAAGCAATTTAAACACATATTACCGTCAAGATAAAGCAAATAACAAAAACCATATATGTACCTTTATCTCAGTCCAAACTTTCTCTTTACCCTCATCCAACTCTCCTCTTTTCCATCTAGGAGTGGTGATCGGAATGTGTATACGAACAAGCGTACCAATGTAGCTTGTCAACTTTGCAGCATTAGACCCAATTAGTTGGTCATTATCATTCCAATCTATATTATATGTTACTCCTCTATCTCTATCACGGATGATTCCC